GGGAGGTTTTATTGTGAAAGAAGCGAAAATTATTCAGAACGGTCCATCATTTTAATTGGGATTTTTAAGGAGTCTGATGAATTAACAGCTGATAAAATTAACAGTTAATTTTGAGCCCCTAACCACCTACAAGCACTTTTTTCAACCCAAGGAGAGATGGAGCTACAAACATGGTTTCAAGTTCTTCACCGTTTAGAATAAGAGGTGCTCATGTACACAACCAACAGAGGGCAGTAACCCAACTTAACCCCGTGATCGGACATGCTTATGGGAGCTTTCAAGGATGTCTTCCTTACCTTAGGGGAGGCTCAGGTTACATGTCTAACCAGTAAGAACAGAAGAAGAAGGGGCTCGAGATTAACCATCTTATTAACCACCTCCAAGCTCCTCTCTGCTTCAGGTGGGACTCGAGCTAGGAAGCCCCAGCTCCCTCCCCTGCCAGTCACCTGAGCACTCATTCTTTCCCCCCATCCAGCCATCCCCCCTCCAGCTTCTGTGCGGCTTCTCTCCTAACACATCCAGTCCCATGAACAGAATCACACACCTCAACCAACAACCCCGCTTTCTGTTAATGACCTAGACCCGTGGTCGGCAAACTGCGGCTCGAGAGCCACATGCGGCTCTTTGGCCCCTTGAGAGTGGCTCTTCCTAAGCCTTAGGAGTACCCTAATTAAGTTAATAACAATGTACCTACCTATATAGTTTAAGTTAAAAAAAATTGGCTCTCAAAAGAAATTTCAATCGTTATACTGTTGATATTTGGCTCTGTTGACTAATGAGTTTGCTGACCACTGACCTAGACCAAGACAGTCCAGGGGAAATATAATGGAAGACAGATGCGAACCACCTAAGTCATTTTATGTTTTCTAGTAGCCACATCTAAATAAGTAAAGAGAAACCAGTGAAAGTATGTTTAATAATATATTGCACTTAAACCCAATATATCCAAAATAATACTTCACTTTATAAGCAATACAAAATTCCTGAGATGTCTTAAAGTCTTCATATAAGTGTGTTATATCTGATGTGTGTTTTAAGCTCACAGCGTATCTCAGTTTGGACTAGCCACCTTGCAAATGCTCACGGCCACATGCGGCTACTAGCCAGTGGCTATGAATTGGACAGCACAGACTCGAGGCTCTCTCAATGAAGTGGTCCCAACTTTTATAAAGACTAGTTAGTGCTGGATAAAGGGATCATGGGTGTTTTTAAAAAAATAACTTTGGATTATCTATATTCTTTATTGTTCTCCAATAAACACAAATGGCATGAGTTTATGGATAGTGTCCCCAAAAATGTATACACACTTTGAATGATTATAAAGTCAGTGTTTATTAATGTATAGATCATCTTCAACATTTAAAAGAATCTACAGAAATTAAGTTTTGTTTTTTTTTTGTCAGTGCCTATTTTCAAACTGATGACAGTCTGGTCCAGGCACTGCTGATGATGCGGAGCAATGGAATCGCAAATATCACAAATCATTTTGTTCAGTATTTGTGTGTCCTAAATCCGTCGAATACTGCTAGTTTTGTCCCGTAAACTTTATCTTTTATGCATCCCCATAAAAAAGTCTAGTGGCACTTTCGGATAAATTTTCTTTGTTCAAAGCTTCCTCTGGCTTCACCCATTATTTCAAATCAGTTAAACCTGAAAAGGAGTGAAAATTGAGTTATCAGCTGTTCAAGTGTGTACACATTTTGGGGGGACATCCTATATCTTAAAAAACTTGTGATCTTTAGCCGAAGCTGGTTTGGCTCAGTGAATAGAGCGTCGGCCTGTAGACTGAAAGGTCCCAGGTTCGATTCCGGTCAAGGGCATGTGCCTTGGTTGCGGGCACATCCCCAGTGGGAGATGTGCAGGAGGCAGTTGATCGATGTTTCTCTCTCATCGATGTTTCTAACTCTCTATCTCTCTCCCTTCCTCTCTGTAAAAAAAAAAAAAAAAAAAAAAAAAAACAAACTTGTGATCTTTAACATCTTTGGCATATCAGGGGAATTTCAATGAGTGAATCCTCACACTCATGCTCTAACTCAGCTGTTCTCAACCTGTGGGTCGCGAACCCTTTGGCGGTTGAACGACCCTTTCACAGGGTCGCTTAAGACCATCCTGCATATCAGATATTTACATTATGATTCATAACAGTAGCAACATTACAGTTATGAAATAGCAACGAAAATAAATTTATGGTTGGGTCACAACATGAGGAACTGTGTTTAAAGGGCCAGAAGGTTGAGAACCACTGCTCTAACGCAAGTTGTTTTTTTAATGGCACACCTGGCGTCAGCATCTGTCCTCATTTCAACATATCTGGCCAGACCTAGCCCCTAACTACTTCACCATCGCAAATTATTCTTCCTGCTGCTTGCAAGCCGCCCACCTCCTCCTCTGCAGATCACTGGGGTGAAGGTACCGAATGCCCAGAAGGGTTTTCCATATCCTCCCGCTTCTGCACAAACACTAACCCAGGCACATTTTCTCGTATTCCTTTGGTAGATCTGAGGTCACTGGTATATGATTCAGAGAATTCAAGTACAAATTATAAAAAGGGCTCTGTCTTCAGTGCTGCTTCAAAGCATTTTAAGTCAGGCTTGTTATTTGCTTGTACTTAAAATTAGAGACATTCAAAAGCTATTCTATATCCCACTTTGTTTTCTTTTAGTTAAAAAAAAAAATTGGCCTATCGGTTGTCCGCAAGCATCAACAACTAATTTTTAATCAGAGAGCACATTTTTCACCTCAAAGGTTATGATTAAAATAATGTCTTTGGAGTTTAAATACAGAAGCAGTTTAGTCACCACAAAATGTGAACACGAAGCACAGACAGCTTAAGCGGTTAAATGGGCTTGAATTAGGGAACCTTAGATTTTTTTTTAATTCTTGGTACAGTTTGGTTTCAGGTTGCTCTGTTTGCCACTCTCATGACAGGTTTGCCCTATTCTTCCAGGCTTTGAAAGGTGGCATGTGGAACCCTAAACTGGGGGAGTTTCAAGACCTGGATTTCAGTCCTCGCTGCCAGTTGCCAACCAGCTGTATGACCTTGGGTGTGGTCACCCCCCCTCACTCCGGTCCCCCATCCCCTGCTAGTCTCAGCCTCCCAGGCTGTACAAGGGGAGTTAACATCATAGTGTTTTCTCGGGCTGCATCCCGCATGACCATTCCTGACCTTTGTGCTAATCTTCCTCCATCCCATAATCCCCCGAAACAAATGCTGCCTCATGCATCTCCTCTTCCTAAATGAGAAGATGGCTGGCAGTACAGCAGCAACATGGGAAAGGAAGGCTGCTTAAGAGAGAGGGAGAAACCCTGAAATGAGTCACCTTTCAAGAATTTACCATCCTCTGGTGTCTGGGTGCTTGGTCATGGTGTTAAATCAATTCCTGCAATGAGACTGGCTCTAAGGACCTGGCATTTGTTATGTCTACTGTTATGTCTACTATTCCTGGATGATGTTGACACTGGACACCCATCTCTCTTAAAAGCCAGTTGTTGGTACCAAGCAAGACTGCACTTATACCTCAAACAGACATCAGCAGCCACATTAATCAACTTTAGTGGAACCTGGAGAAAAATCAGATCAGAATCACAGAGAGTTTAATTGGGTCTTTGCACCAGCTTTTGATAAGTTAGAGAAAATAAATTATACAGCTCCCCAAATTTCCCACTCACCCTCCCCAGGAGCCTAAAATCTAGCCTGCTGCCAAAATTACTCCCTGTCCCTTAGGGCTGGGGAAAGCCTGCCTTCCCCACATTCCCTCACCCAGGCCCAAGCCAGGGGGCCCCGGTTGAGACTGGTCCATGCTGCTCCCTCCGGCCTGATTCTTCATGCTGCCATTTTGAATGAACACGGGTTTCCTCTGCAAGGGATGCCTGGTCTAGTCAGGCTTGGAACCCAGTAGACTCACACCCTGCCGGGAAGCCTGCCACGTCCTCATTCAAGATGCTTGCTAGCCAGAGTTCAACAGCAAATCCCGGGAGCCCGTCTTATTTAGCAGAACCCTGACTCGGTTTTGCATCACAGCACCACAGCACGTAACAGCTTCCTTAGGTGCACTTGGAGTTAATGGACCTGTTTAACCCTTAAACCCGGGTTCTCGTCTCTTCTCTAAAGTTCAAGCTCCTGCTTTGCAGACCGCACTCATCTCAGACCTCACGAGAGATGTCACCCACGATCGGCGCCCCGACAGACAAGAGAACCCAGGCCGCCAAGGCTAACTGAAGCGGATAATCATCTCGGAATGTCTGAGTGCCTTTTATGGATCAGTGCACACACACACACACACACACACACACACACACACACACACACACCATGGATCAGTACACACACACACACACACACACACACACACACACACCCAGCACCATCCGTTAACTTGCCCGACACCCTTCCCCACAAGAACCGCCCCGGGTGTGGCTGGAAGGCAAGTCGCGTTAAGTCCGGGCCGGAGAGGAGCAGCCTCGCTTGCCCTTAGGGGAGAGCAGATCCCGCACCGGTGGACGCGGGGACAGAGCCGGGCCACGGGCAGCGGCCGCAGCGGGCAGCCAGGTCCCCGCGAGCCCACCCGCGGCAGGTATGTGACCTCCAGGAGGGTGCCAGGCCCGCTCCCGCGCCCCAGCGAGCCCTGCACCCTGGGAGCGGCCCCCGGGGCGGCGGGGACAGGGGGCGCACCGGCACATCCCTCGCGGGGCAGCAACTTCATACCGAGACTAGGAAAACAGGAAAAGCCGGCGGGGGAGTGTGTGTGCGGGAGGCGGGGGCGGGGGTGGAGGGTATGAGAGTTAAAGGAGATAGGGCCAGGATGGGGCTGGGTGTGCAGAGCGGGGACACCTTCCGACCTGGCTGCAGCGCTCGCGCCCAGGGTGGGGCGTCCCTGTCCTGCGCCCCCGAAGCCCACAAACCCGAGTCATCCCGGGCCCGGCGATGGCGGCTGGGAGCGAACCTGCGGGAGCCGCGGTGCAGATGCCCCGCGCTCTGGGTCGCGCCTGCCGAGGCTCACCTGCGGGCGGCGGCTCAGGCTCGGCTCTGCGGCGCTGATGCTGCGGCGCCGAGGGTGCGGGTGCTGCTGCTGCGGGTGCTGCTGCTGCGGGTGCTGCTGCTGCGGGTGCTGCTGCGGGTGTTGCTGCTGCTGCTGCTGCGGGTGCTGCTGCTGCGGCCGCGGCTACTGCGGCGACATCCGGGGCTGCAGCTGCAGTGGCCGAGCGGCGGGGCGGTCGGCGCTTCCCCCTCCTCAGACTCCGGGCGCGCTGGCCCGCCGCCCCCGCTTACAGTTTGCTCCGCTCACGTGATGCGGGTCCACCCCGCCTCCCCGTCCCCTCCCCCACACCGCCACCCGGGGCTGGAGCCTTGCAGCACTGGCCTGTCTGGGCTGCCGGGGCTGCAGCACCGCGCTGGGCTGGGGAGGGGAGGGTGCCTGGCAGCAGGAGGAGCTGCCGCCAGGGCGGATCTCCCGGCAGAAGGTGGCTCTTTGCTCCATTGTTATTTCTAAGTCACCACCCGGGTGGCATCTGTCTCCAGAGGAAAACCCGGACTTTAAGGAGCCAGGCCCCGCTTCCTCCCGGGGCTTCAGTACCTAAGCGAGATTTCCCCTCGGAGGAACGTGTCCTGTGCGTTATTGACCTGCATATCCAAGCCAGTTCCTTGGTTTTAAAGATGCCATCCTGTGCCATGTGGATAGGCCAGACCCTAAGCAGGGTACTTGGGCAATGAGGCCCAAAGAAGTTAAGTAACTCTCCCCAGGTCACACAGCAAGTAGCAAAGCCAAGATTCCATCCCTGGTTTAATAACACAAACAGGTGACCAAGGGTGTGTGGGTGTGTGTGTGTGTGTGTGTGTGTGTGTGTGTGTGTGAATACTGGCATCAAGGTATTTGGTCCAGACATAACCATCTACCTGTTAACAAAGCACAGACTCTATCTTCTATGAAATAGCAAATAAGACTATCCTGTAAAGAGAAAGTCCACAGGAAAACAAAGGCAATACCACTCAGACACATGAAAAGATATTCACGCTCACTTCCCTTCAAATCAGATATACAAGGTCGCATTTTCCACCTGTCAGGTTAGCAAAAATCAAAAAGTTTTATAACCTCCACAGAGGACAATTTGGTAATATCGCCCAAATAACAGATATATATAGATAGATAGATAGATAGATAGATAGATAGATAGATAGATAGATATAGATATAAAGATATATATGTAGCCTTTGGAGGATTCCACGTCTGGAATTTATCCTACAGTTTGAAACAGGTGTGAAATGATATGAGTACACTGTTATCTGTTGCTATATTAGTTGTGCTAGCAAAGATTAGAAACAGACATCCGTCAATTGGGGGCTATTCAAATAGCAAAATATAATGGAACGCTATTCAGATATTTTAAAATGAGAAAGATCTCTATGTACTGATCTGAGAGATTTCCAACCCATACTAAGTAGGGGAAGGAAGCCATGTGCAAGTCATTGTGTGTTATCAGTTGTGGGAAGAAAAAAATATATGCCTGTACTCTTACTTGCATAGAATATCTTCGGAAGAATACATCAGAAACTGTAATAGTGGATGCCACCAGGGAAAACTGGGTGACTGGATGGAGGGAAGGAAGGAGACTTTATTGCATGTTTTTTTAATGTTATGCTTTTGCTTGTGGTCTGCCACATGAGCAAATGGATAGTAGGAGAGGGCTGAGGGAATCAGTGCAGATGCTGAGAACAGAGCAGTGACACGCACACTCTTGGAGCACAAAGGGGTCTTATTGTGCATTTAGTCCAACCAAGAAAACTGTAGCCCAATATCAATATTATATACTAGAGTCCCGGCGCACAAATCGCCTGGCCAGCGATTGGGGCCGATCGGGGCATCTCCCCCAGTCCTGACCAGGGCAATAGGGGCTCGGCAGCCAGGGAGGGACCACAGGAAGGCCCCAGGGTATGTCCGGTCCTCTCGCCCAGTCCCAATCAGCCGGACCCCAGCAGCAAACTAACCTACCAGTTGGAGCGTCTGCCCCCTGGTGGCCAGTGTGTGTCATAGCAACTGGTCGAGCCATCAACGGAATGGTCAACTTATCGGTCGGACACAGCATATTACACTTTTATTATATAGGATTTCATAATAATACTCTACTTTGAGATAGCTTGGGAAACCTGTATTTTGTCCAGTTTTCTACTTGTCACAATAGGATAGCAAATCCCACAGTAGTTTCTCCTTCATGGGCAGATGTGGAAGTCTAGGAACTATAATCTTAATGCCCCTAAGGAGCCAAGTGTCTTGATTTAGACTCAACTAGACCCACAATTGTAAGAACTACAAATGCATACTTTACTTATAGAATGTCTTCAACATACTAATTTAATAAGAAACATGATCAAACACCTATACTAGGAATTACACTATTGCTGCAAAGATGAAAAGGGCATATCATAGCCTCTCCTCTCAAGAAGTCAGAGGCAAGCAAGAAAAGTAAGTATAGAAGTAATGTATTTGTATATTATATGTTGCCATTAAGATAACATAAGAATTATGCAGAGATAAATACATTGATCTAGCATATTAGGAAATGTAGACAAGTTTTAAAAAGTGATCATAAATAAAGGTTACCCAAACCTAGACCAATTAAAAATATTATTGATGACAATTTTAACTTGTCTTCTAACCAGTATTATTGTCTAAAGAACCCTATGCAATGATTTTGAGGAGCTTGAAGGACATATGTAATTGAGGAATACCTTTAGCACATTGCTTACAGAGGTATTTTCCTTTTAGTGCTTCTTTGAGTGTATAATTGTAACAGGAAGAAAAAGATCTGTCATTGGAAAAATCTCATGGGAATGAATGACAGGCAATGTATGAATGAGACACTCATATATGAGTAAAAAGGCCTGTGTAATTGGCTTGTCTTGTATATAATCTTATGAGAACCAAAGAAAGGGATTAACAGAAAAGCCATTAAAAGATGAGAAAGAAGAGTATTAGTCAAGATTAGTCAACCACCTGCCTTAATTCCATGACAACCATGTTTAGGAGGCTAGTCTTCTGAATTGGTTACCATAGAAACAAACCTTTAGAATGCCCTCAAATCAATCTACAGAATTACTGCCCATATTGAGTATAAACAACATGGAGAGATTATAAATATCAAAATCTATTTTAAAATTATTTTTAGAATTCAAATGATCCATCAAGCCCTTTGGAGATTGCTAATTTATACAACCATAAATTTTAATTTGGCAAAAAGTGTAAAATCCTATTCATTATATTTAGGTGATGGGTTTCTAAATTCAATTATTCAAATGTGTCATTTCAATGGTTCCCATTTCATTTCAAATAACAGTTAATCAGTCTTCTGAACCTAGTTTTTAAAAAAATTATTATGTATGCATCACCCTCACTGCTCTGCCTTTAGGAGCCATTGGTGGATCCAGTCAACTGTACAGATAATTTAAAGGGGAATTGCTGATTGTTCATCTTGTGACTATCAAAGAACAGGCCAGGGGATTCTATGATGACCTTTGGGAATTTCCACCTATGTTTTTTTTCCTAGTTTACCTGTATGGAAATGGTCCACCTTATGCTATGTACAGTGTGTGTTTTTTTATGTAGCTTTATTGATTTCAGAGAGGAAGGGAGAGAGAGATAGAAACATCAATAATAAGAAAGAATCATTGATTGGCTGCCTCCTACACATCTCATACTGGGGATGGAGCCCAGAACTTGGGCATGTGCCCTGACCGAGAATTGAATTATGACCCCCTGGTTCATAGGTTGACACTCAACCATTGAGCTATGCCAGCCAGGCCTGAGGATCGTTTTAATAGATGAAACCTTATCTAGAATTGACAAAGTTGAGCCTATTATATCTGCAATTTTAATACCACTGCTCACTTAAGGTAATATATGACTTTAAACAGAAGTTACTATTAGTTATTCTCCAATTCTTTTTTTTAAAATAATATGATCCTTTTTAAAGAATAGTTTATTGATTTTTAGAGAGAGTGGAAGGGAGAGGGAGAGAGAAACATCTATGTGAGAGGGAGACATAGATCAGCTGCCTTCTGCACGTCCCCTACCAGGGATCAAGCCAGAAACCTCCTGGTGCAACAGTAGACATCCAACCAACTGAGCCACACTGGCCCAGGCTATTTTTCAATTCTTGAAAGAAGGAAACAAAAGTCTGTCTAAATTGTTCTAGGAATTAAATAAAGATGGACTTTCTATAAGTGACTAAACAATGATTCCATCTATTGATAGAAAGTATGAAATTTCTGACTCCAGAGAAAGCCTAGAGCTATTATGCTGTGGGGATTTGGTAATTAAAAGGGGATTCCATTGCAAGAGCCTTTTAGGTTCTTCCCTCTTTTTCCACAAGTAAAGTGCTGTCTCTTATTTTAAAGCAAATCCCCTGTATTTGTACTACTCTTCATGGGTATTCTACCCAAGTATAATTACCCATTTAATTAAACTTAGCTAGAAATTTAAGAACCACTTTTTAAAAATCTAGACTGTCTCCAACAGAATACCAGCGGGTGTGAGCACAATAGAAAGATGTGGCTGAATGTCATAATGTTCCCAGTTTCTAACCAGAGGTTAAAAAAAAAAAAAAAAAGAACTAGACTTAGAGTTATATTAACATAAAATGCAGCCCACCAGTGACTGCAACAAATGGGTGAGAAAATGCTGTAAGAAATTGGAATTAAGCCCCAGTGGGCCCCCCGGCCCTTTCTTCATTCTTTAGATTAATGAAAACTGTCCCTCACTACCTCACTTTACATTGTGTGTGGGATTGTTTTTCCTGCAACTATTTACTAAAGAGGACATTATCTTGAGCTGCTGCAGTGTGGGATTTTACCAGTAAGTTAATGACGTGACTTGTAAATGCCCAGAAATTCCCAAGTGGGATATACGTCAGCTGTTACTAGAGACCAAGGGACAGCATTTGCTTTACTCCAGATTTTTTTTTTTTTTTTTTAGGAAAGCCTCAGTAAACATCTCATGCCATTTGTCTTTAGGTCATAAAATAAAACTGACGTTCGTCTAGTGCACAGGCCCTCGCGTTGGCTCTGAAGATCATTGGCTGCCCTGTCCTCACTGAAGTCATGGCATCCCAGAGGCTTCCCTAGCAGCCCAGGACACAAAGAGCCTGCAAACACAGGAGCCCACAGACAGAGGGCTCGGGACCTCCAGGAACCTCCAAATGCTCCTTCCCAGTTCCTCAGCCATAACCTACGGACTGTGTCAAAGCCAGCCACGTAGTCCCTTTGATAAACCTCAAGCTGAAGCGGTGAAAAA